GTGGGGTGTACTACTTGAAGTAGATTACTGCTTTTTTTTTTTTTTTTTAAGATTTTATTTATTTATTTGACAGAGAGAGACACAGCGAGAGAGGGAACACAAACAGGGGGAGTGGGAGAGGGAGAAGCAGGCTTCCCGCTGAGCAGGGAGCCTGATTCGGGGCTCGATCCCGGGACTCTGGGATCATGACCTGAGCCGAAGGCAGACGCTTAACAACTGAGCCACCAAGGCGCCCCTAGATTACTGCTTCTTAAGAAACCTTGCCCACAGGTAAAGTTCACATCCAGTAAAAGGAGACCTCCAGGGGAACATCTTTTTTCCTTCTCTTACCATCCGAAAGAAGTGAAATAGCACTGCAGGGGAATGTCCAAAAAGAGGATTTGACATTAACCAATGAGTAATTTACAAAGCAGCAAGTCAGCTGGCTTTGACCACATAAGCAAAGAGCTTATATAGATAATGTTATGGTTTAATTCACTTCACTCAAATAAGATTCGATTCTAAAGTTAAAATCTGAAAGGATAAAAACTTTTTTCAGTGCCACTCAAAGGCAAATAAAAGTTCTTATTATTTAAATCTTCTTTTTTTTTTGATTTTGAGAGAGAGGGCGCAAGAGAGAGAGCCAGTGGGGGAGAGGGAGGGAGAGGGACAAGTAGACTCCTTGCTCAGCCTAGAGCCTGAGACAGGGCTCTATCCCACAAACCTGAGATCATGACCTAAGCTGAAATAGAGAGTTGGACACTTAACCGACTGAACACTGCCCCCACCCCAGACATCCACAGCTTTTAAAAAGATTTTTATTTATTTGACAGAGAGAGCGGGGAGAGCATGTGTGCAGGCGAGTGGGAGAAGGGACAGAGGGAGAGGGAGACAGAATCTCAAGCAGACTCGCACTCAGCACAGAGCCCTATGCAAGGCTGATCTCAGGACCCTGAGATCATGACCTGAGCTGAAACCAAGAATCGGACGCTTAACTGACTGAGCCACCCAGGCGCCCCAAAGGCTTTTAAAAATAAAGGTTCTTAAGTAAAGAGTCATGAATAAGTTTAAGGCAACCCAGAAAAAGAACAGAGCTAGAGGAATTAACTACTAGGTATTAGGGTTAAACATAGTATTTGTTCCAGACTTAATTACTGTAGTAATTAAGTAATAGTGTGGTATTATTACAAGGATAATATAAGGATAAAAGACCAAGAAATAAAACAGAGTCCAGAAATAGAACAACACATATATGATTACCTGATTAACAGCAAAAGCTGCCAGTGCAGAAAGGAAAGTCTCTTCAATAAAGAGTGAATAGCAATTAGATATTTATATGAGGGAAAAAAAAAAAGAACCTTGACCCCCACATCACACAAAAACTAATTCAAGATGAATCACAGAGCTAAGTGTGAGAAGCAAAACAAAAAACGTTTAGAAGAAAACAGAATATCTTCATGATACTGGGATAGGCAAAGATGTCTCAAAAGGATCACAAAAGTCACTAAAAGGAACATTGATAAATTGGACTTCATTAAAAATTACCAACTTTTGTTCATCAAAAGATACCATTAACAGAGTGCAAAAGCAAGTTACAGACTGAAAGAAAATATCTGAAATATATATATCCAAACAAGTGACTTAGGATATATAAAGAACTCCTACAAATTATTAGAAAAAGGCATGCATCCAACAGAAAAATGGGCAAAAAACTTAAAAAAGGGCTTCACAAAAGATAATATTCAAATGGTCAATGAGAATATGAAAATATGCTCAACGTCATTAATCATTAGAGAAATGCGTAAGAAAATCACAGTGAGATCCATTATGCTTCCATCAGAGTGGCTAAAATTAAAAGGTATGAGAATATTAAGTTTTGATAAGGATGTTTAACAACTAGAACTCTCACTCATTGCTGGTAGGACTGTCAACTGGTCCAACCACTCTGGAAAATTAGTTAACAATATCTACCAAAGCCGAACATCATGTATCTGGCAATTCCGTTCTAGGGTATATACCCAATAGAAATAGGTGATCATGTACACCAAAAGACCTGTACCAGAATGGTCACAACAGCTTTATTCATAATAGCCATGGACTGGAAAAAACCTAGGTATCCATCAATTGAAGAATGGATACACAAATTGTGGTATATTAACACAATGGAAAACTACATTACAATGAAAAAGAATGAAATACTGCCATAAGCAACAGTATGAATAAATGTCACAGAAATAATGTTGAGTGAAGCCAGTCAAAAAACAGTACATACTGTATGATCCCATTTATTTGTAGTCAGGAACAGTCAAAAGCAATCTATGATATAAAGTTAGAGTAGCAGTGATTACCCTGGGAGGGAGGGAAGTATATTGCCTCTGAAGAGGGCAAGAGAGCCAGTAAAGTCCTGGAAATGTTCTACATCTTGATGTAGGTGGTGGTTCCACTTAAGCTGTACACTTAACATTTGTGCTTTTTTTTTTAATCTATGATCTGGAGGATTTTTTAAAAGAATTTATTTGAGAGAGAGAGAGAGAGAAGCGTGCATGAACACATGTGCGCAAGGGGAGGGGCAGAAGGACAGCGAGAGAAGCAGACTCCCTGCTGAGCATGGAGCCTGACAGGATGCAATCTCACAACCCTGAGATCATAACCTGAGCAGAAATCAAGAGTCAGACACTTAACGGACTGAGCTACCTATGTGCCCCATTAAAATTTCTGCTAATACTGTGTATAAGCTATAGGTCAAAACAAAACAAAATGAAAACAACAACAAGAAAAAGAACAGGCTTAAGGTGGCAGGTGAATCTCCAAAACAATTCAACATTTTGTATGTACTGCATTTTTCTTGGACAAAAGTCATTAGACTGCCTATTAGAATATCAACTCCCTGATGGCAGGTATTTTTGTCATTTTTATTCACTACTGTATCTCCAGGCATGGTACACAGCAGATATTCGATAAATCTTTGCAGAATAAGGTGCACCTGGGTAGCTCAGTCGGTTCAGTGTCTGCCTCCAGCTCAGGTCATAATCCCAGAGTCCTGGGATCGCTCCCTGCTCAGTGGGGAGCCTGCTTCTCCCTCTCCCTTTCGCCCCCACCCCCCGTTCATGCTCTCTCTCTAATAAATAAAATCTTAAAAAAATATATTTGCAGAATAAGTTTGCAAAAGGAGCTGTTAAGCAAAAGTAAAACGAAGCAATCATTAACTAAAATCTTGGTATAATGAGTTATTTGAATTAACAGAAGTTTATAAAGTAATTGCTAGAGTCTAATGATGGCAACTTGAATTAGCTTATTATGCAGGTGTGTCTTAGTACTTTCAAACACAAGAAAGACTAAACCTGAAATGAAAATTTCTTGTGTGTTCAGAATTTAAGGTCTCTTCCTTCTGTGAGTCACTCTATATTAGGCTACAGGGGCTTAGAAACCAAGTTAAAACACTTGCAACTAAAATAAACCTCAGGGGCGCCTGGGTGGCTCAGTTGGTTAAGCGACTGCCTTCGGCTCAGGTCATGATCCTGGAGTCCCTGGATCGAGTCCCCCATCGGGCTCCCTGTTCGGCAGGGAGCCTGCTTCTCCCTCTGACCCTCCCCCCTCTCATGTGCTCTCTCTCTCTCATTCTCTCTGTCTCAAATAAATAAAAAAAATCTTTAAAAAAATAAAAATAAAAAATAAAAAATAAAAAAATAAAATAAACCTCAGGTTTGAAGACACATTCATTGCTTCTAAAAAATTACTAAGGCAAAAGTAAGTGAAATTCAATGGAATTTACTAAAATCAACTAAAACAATCTATCTAAAACTTATTTCTCTTCAACCCTCGGGGTCATCTGGCATCTAGCAGAACAGGCCAGGGATGCTGCTAACCATCCTACATGCAGACATCAGCCCTCTACAACAATGAATTTATCCAGCCCAAAATGTCCATAGTGCCGAGATTAAGAAATCCTGATTTAAACATCACCTTATGTTAAAATAAAGGATTTAAAAAAATAAAGGATTTTATTAAGCATATGAACTAAAGAGTCTTATTTAAACTATGAAATAATTCAAGTTTCTTTCAACTATTACTTTTCCAAAAATACAAACACTGTATTTTTAAAGTTAAAATTGTACAGGGGCAGCACCTGGGTGGCTCAATTGGTTAAGCATCCGACTCTTTGATATCAGCTCAGGTCTTGATCTCAGGGTTGTGAGTTCAAGCCCCACGTTGATTTAAAAAAAAAAAAAAAAAAAGTAAAGTTGTACACATGTATCAAATGTCATAAAAAGGGGTATTTAATGTAAATATCTCCGAGGATAATAATCATCACTAACATTTTTGGACAATCCTAGGCATATTACTTACTTTATCTCATTTAATATCAGTATCCCCATGAAAGTAAGATTCTCATTTATAGTGATTAGAAACAAAATTTAGAAGAGATTAAATACTTGCCTAAGATTACACAGCTAGAAATGGCATAGTGGAAATTTGCACCCAGATTATCTCCAAACCCATAGTGTTTCCATTAAAATGCATTAAATTTCAATTTCAAATGAGAGTTAAATCAAAATTAAAAGCACAGCAAGTTTCATTTTCCAGAGTCAATATGCCACTTTGGAAAGTGAAGAGCAAAGTCAGGAGAAGCCTACTTAGGAATTATGTACTAAGGACACATAAAAAAGAAATCAGTGCCGATTTTTGAAAGGGTAATCTATAGTTAATATTTTTTCTTATCACAAATAAAATTAAATAGTTTTATAAAGTTATATGCCAAAGTCATCAGCTATACTCTTTTCCTGGTCATACAACAGAATTACTGATGATAACATCAAAGCTTAAATGCTTATTGGCTGGGAGCTTAATCTTGACAATTCACGAACATGACCCACCTAGTCATCCCTACATGGTAACATTAGATTCCTAACACTTCAGCCAATCTAAGAAAAATATTCCTATATTAAACTCTATTACTTTCATCTCAACATTTAAGGGCTTATCATGATTCTTTGTATTAAGAGAAAGAAAAGTATTCTTACCCTATTAAAGCCATGTTCACGAGAGTCATCAACTTCTCCATTACTAGTCACTGGAATTTCTGCTGCTGAATTTTTGGGAGATTCTTGAGCCATGCTATACTCCTAAAAATAGAAGAAAAGAAACAGTTGTAAATAACACCAAATCATAAAAGGCAAACACTCAAAAGACTATTCATGTTTATAGCACTTAAAAGCCACTATTACAGCATTTTAAAAAATAATTACAACCTACCTAACAGACAATAAACATGATACTAATCTAATAAAAAATGCATGTGGCATTTAAAACTGCAGTCAACTTAAATTTCTTGTTTAAAAAAAATGTTACTTGTAGATCCCAGCGGGCAATATCCTTGCCTCACAAATAGTGTAATGACAGACTACCAGTTACAACTGAAAAAAATATCACAGAAAGCCAAGCTTGATTATTAATTCCACTACGCAGCTCTACTTTTCCTGTTGTACATAATGGGCTTCTAGGTCAGCTTTTGTCTAAAGAGTTTCCCTGATATAACAAGAATTTTTATTTTTATTTTTTTAAGATTTATTTATTTGAGAGAGAGAGAGAACAGAGGGAGAGTGAGGGGGAGAAGCAGACTCCCCACTGAGCAAAGAGCCTGACATGGGGCTCGATCCCAGGACCTGAGCCGAAGGCAGATGCTTAACTGACTGAGCCATCCAGGCACCCCCTAACAAAAATCTTTAAATCTCTATACTAGTTTTACACTCTGGCTTTACCGTTCTAAAAATCAAATAATTTTGGGGGCACCTGGGTGGCTCAGTTGGCTAAGTGTCTGCCTTCGGACTCAGGTCATGATCTCAGGGTTCTGGGATTGAGCCCCACATTGGGCTCCCTGCTTAGCGGGGAGTCTGCTTCTCCCTCTCCCTCTGCTCATGCTCTCTCTCAAATAAATAAAATCTTAAAAAAAGAAGTCAATAATGTTTAAAAAATACATTCCTTAATTTTATAACCATATTTTCTCTATAAATTTCTTTCAGAAACTTAATATAGTTAATCAGTAATAGAAAGTCAATTTTGGTTGGTAAAAACTTTCCTTCCTCCAATCGTACGTGATTGTAAAAAGCATGTGTGGCTACGGGTTAAAACAAGATTTTATACCTGTAAAGGATCTTAAAAATTATCTATTTTTCCTAATTTTAAAAATTAAAAAACTTCAGAGTAAATAGCAACTATTCCACTTTAAAAAAAAAGATTTTATTTATTTATTTTGACAGAGAGAGAGGGACCGCGAGAGAGGGAACACAAGCAGGGGGAGTGGGAGAGGGAGAAGCAGGCTTCCCGCTGAACAGAGAGCCGATGTGGGGCTCAATCCCAGGACCCTGGGACCACAACCCGAGCCAAAGGCAGACGCCCAAAGACTGAGCCACCCAGGCACCCCTATTCCACTTTTCACAGAGAGCAAGTACCCCATCTCCATCCAACTCCCCTCCCTTTTACACCAGTAATGGCTTTAAAAGTGTTATACACACACACACACACACACACGCACACACTTTAAAAATAGTGCACACTAAAAGACTCGTTAGGAACACAATCGATATCTAACAATATGTGTTCTAATAATGTTCAATCCTGAATCCAGCTGCTACTCCTGATTCTGCATTACACAGAATTACCAAAACCAAACCAAACAACTAAAATGTGTGTGTGTGTGTGTGTGTGTGTGTGTGTCTATGTTTAATCTACAGACCTGAATCTACTACCGAGAGCATTAAGAGGTTCTTTGATTTTCTCCGGAAGAATTTTTTTTTTAAAGATTAAAATAACGGGTGCCTGGGTGGCTGAGTTGGTTAAGCGACTGCCTTCAGCTCAGGTCATGATCCTGGAGTCCCGGGGTCGAGTCCCACATCGGGCTCCCTGCTCAGCGGGGAGTCTGCTTCTCCCTCTGACCCTCCCCCTCTCACGCTCTCTCTGTGCCTCATTCTTTCTCTCTCAAATAAATAAATAAAATCTTTAAAAAAAAAAAAAAAAAGATTAAAATAACTAAGATAGTGTTGTCATGCCAAGCTCATGCATTACTCATTTTGTTTTTGAGGGGTTAAGGATGGTTTCAAGGCCAGGAACCTTTAAAAAAAATCACACTATATTTTTATAATTTAGGGAATTTTAATAGGGTAAGTCATACTACCAAAAGCAAGTATTAATGCAAATAGGTTTGTGGGCCTAGTCTCTACTTCGGTGAAACATAAAAAGGTCTTATTAATATATTGAATGATACCTAATAATATTTTTCATACACTGTGTATATCATTAAGTATGTGAGACAGAAGATACTGTCAAGTACATGGAGGTAGGACTTAATTTATTCCTAACACTACAGACCAGCAATTCTCAAACTTTTTGGCCTCACGACCTCTTTACATTCTTAAAAATCATCAAGTACCCCAAAAAGCCTTTATTTATGTGGGTTATATCTATCAGTGTTTACTATATTATAAAGTAAGTGTGTAAATTTTGAAAGTATTTATTAATCCATTTTAAAGTAATAGATGTACACCCACCATATGTTAAGGTAAAATCTTTTTATGAAAATAGTTGTATTTTAAAACAACAAAAACTTGTTGGTGACAGCAGCAGCACTGTTTCACATTTTTGCACATTTCTGCAATGTCTGCCTTTATGAGAAGACAGCTGGACTCTCTTATCTAGTCCCACACTCAATCTGTTGCAATATGTTGCTTTGTACAAGTCTATGAAGAAAACCTGGCTTATGTGGCTACTGTCTCTTCAAATAATTGTGGACATACGTTTTTGATACTATATCAAAACTTGACAAGTGGTCGTTTCTTAAAAGGTAACTAAAATGTGGAATATAAACCATAATGATAAATTTCTTTCATGATCTATCGCATTAAAATCCACCAGTCTACCCTGTACTTTGAATGCATCTTTTACATATGCATGATTTGGTAACATCATGCATTGGTCATTTAGAAAACACTGATTCGGTGACTTATACATATCATCCAAATATTGATGCAGTTCCTTAAATAATAAAAATTCTTACTTTTATATATAACTGATCTTATCAAAACAGTCTTTAAGTACTAGGAAGCCGTCAAGCTCAGCTTGGTGGGTATAAATTTTCCAAAATTCTAATTTTTGCTTGAAAACTTGAATTTGGCCACTGGCAAGAAATGATGTCAGTCATTTTACTTCAAGTAACAGGTTTTTCAAAAGTATGTCTCTCAAATACCCAAGTCTAAATATAGCCACAGTTTGCCTGCCATTTTTCCTAATAAAAAAAGTGTTATATAAAAAAAAAAGTGTTATATTAAAAAAACAAACAAAAAAACAGTTCATCTAAACTGAATCACACGTGTGCTTTTCCTCAAGACAACCACTGACCTCTGTCATGTAGCAGACTCCCCGCCGAGCAAGGAACCTGATGCGGGCTGAGATCATGACCTGGGTCGAGGGCAGACTCAACTGACTGAGCCACCCAGGTGCTCTTACTTACCTATTTTTGTGCACCACCAGGGCAAATGACACAACAATGAAAAATGCAAACAATGCAAATGTCTTACCAGTATTACTGAAAACAGTTTTGCCTTGTAGAGTCCCTGAAATATTCCTGGGGTCCTCCAAAACCTCCAAGCCACACTTTGAAAAACACTGGTATAAACAAATGGTTTTGACCAACATTTAGTGAAAGCTTGTTATGTGCAAGGCACTCTTATTAATTAGAATTTTGCCTGCAGACAACCTACCGGAGAGTCCTCCAGTAAAGTACTTCAGTAGAGGCCAGTAAGACTGGACAGAGCAGCAATGCTACTGTTACATTATAGACCTTGGCCAATCCCAGAGCGAGCACTAAAGCTGAGATGGCTCTTTAAAGTTGTCCAAATTAAGGCAAGGAGACCAGGCCTTTGTACCCCGACATCTGTACCCCTGATCATTAGATGCAGGCTATTCCCTGGATGGGGCTATAACCATGGATAAGGCAACTGTCTTTGGCAGAGGCAATTCCTGGGAAGACTCAGCTATGAGCCCTCAGGAGGCAATACTCCTGGAATGAGGGCTTTGATCCCAGAGGAAGTAAATGAGCCACTCACCACAGCATCCACTATATCCTCCTTATTACTAATGTAGTATCTTTTATTTATGTATGTATGTATTTATTTATTTACTCATTCATTCATTCATTCTCAAGAGAGCCTGCATGTGCAGTGGGGGAGGAGCAGAGGGAGAGGGACAAGCAGACTCCTGAGCCTGACATCGGGCTTGATCTCACAACCCTGAGATCATGACCTGAGCCAAAACAAAGAGTTGGATGCTCAACCGACTGAGCCACCCAGGCCCCCTAAAGTAGTATCTATTTTAAAAGAACTTGAAATGTCTTGTTTAGAGGATATCTGACTACTTTATGCACAAATTTACAGAAATTCGGTGATCTCTACTAAGAAAAACTGTCCCTTTCATAGTCCCCAATTAAGGAGTGCGCACTAACTGAACCAAAGACACCGGACTGGCTGATTCACAGTTCACAAGCTAAGAGAAGACCAGGTAAGAAAAGTATTGCCCAATAGAAGAAAGAGAAATTTTCCGAGCTAATCAGAGTCATTTTGAAGTGCAAATTAGGGATGCTGAGAGAATTAGTCAACTGGCATACTGAAAGACAAATGAGAGCAGAAGAGCAAAGAGTAGAATTAGGTCAATGACAGGTCACAGCTTAAAAATTCACAAACTCTAGTTGACAAGTGTTAATCCAACTTGTCAAAGTTTATTTACAGTGTTATCTGTGGCTGGTTCTTCCTTTCTGAATTATGACCTTATGAAAATCCTCTGTTCTTAGATTCTTTTTTAAAAATTGTGGTAAAAAACGCTTAACATAAAATTTACCATCCTAACCATTTCTAAATGTAAAGTTCAATAGTATTAAGTATATTCAAACTGTTGTATAATCAATCTCCAGAACTTACTCATCTTACAAAACTGAAACTCCATACACATTAAACAACAACTCTCCATTTTCCCCCACCCCTATGCCCTTGGCAAGCATCATCCTACTTTCTGTTTCTATGAATGTGATTATTCTGGATACCTCTTCAATGGAATTGTATAGTTTCTGACCTTGTGA